GAGCTCATAGCTTTATGATTTCTGCACCTTGCTTTCCTATAGAGCTCATAGCTACATGATTTCTGCACCTTGTTTTCCTATAGAGCTCATAACTTCATGATTTCTGCACCTTGTTTTCCTATAGAGCTCATAGCTACATGATTTCTGCACCTTGTGTTCCTATAGAGCTCATAACTTCATGATTTCTGCAACTTGTTTTCCTATAGAGCTCATAGCTACATGATTTCTGCACCTTGCTTTCCTATAGAGCTCATAGCTAAATGATTTCTGTTCCTTGTTTTCCTATAGAGCTCATAGCTACATGATTTCAGTTGCTTGTTCCATCAGAGAGCTCATAGGTATATGATCTTGGGAACTTGTTCTCCTAGTTAGCTCGTAGCTACTGGTTTTCTGAATCTTGTTCTTCCTGTGATATGTTCTCCAGAGAGTTTGATTAGATAAAGCAACTGCAGCAGTTCTATGCTTTGATACACACGTTGACTTGTCTGATATTTCAGACTTATTATTCCATATTATCTACCCAAAGTTTTATTCAATGTCTATCAATGTGGCTGTAAATTTATATTTTTCTGCTGCTGTCAACATGTTTCTCTTAAAATTGTTATGATTTGCTTATTTGAAAATATCATTCTATGCTGATTCATTTCAGTAAGGTTAGCTGCTGTTTTATAAAAGAAATTGCCGAAATTGAAAATATATGTTGAGCTTTATTGTTGCTATGGATTTACAGAATGTAATGCCATGTGAAATACTGATTATATAATTCCACTAATTAGCTGCAAATGGATGGACCCAGGGGTTACGTAACCTGTGAGTAAGGTGGTATAAAGCCACAAGGTCGACATTATTGGTAACATCGGCATACATGCAGGCACCCCTAGATGTTTACATCTCACTGATGTTGACAAAGACTGTTAGGACTTTCTGTGTATTTCTGTGCTATTTTGTACAATTAGTGAGGGTTGATTCATTAATTTCTTCAGTTGGCTACAAGCCTACAATCAACTTTAAGGATCATGCAATTGATTTCGCCCAAGTTCAGTAGCAAGGTCTTACTGATTGTTCAGGAGTCAGAACTTGGGGAAAAAAATTAAGTGGCTGAAGGATGTTATTTTGTTTTAGTTTTTTACCTTCTCTCCTTAATTTTTGTGTGGTTTGACAAGTTATAGGAATATATAAACTATGTATACATGATTGTATAAATCAAGATGTATAGGTTGGATATATTTATATGATAAACGTAGAGGATCCTCAGATCTTTTATGAATTTCCGTTGCATATCTATACATAGGATCTTAAAATAATTCTTTATGGCAGGAATCATTTTAAGGTTAAGAATCCTAAAAAACTATCGATTGATAAATTATTGCTAATATAGCCATTAATAAAAAATATTTTGTAAAACATTTGTCTTCAATTTTCTTCTTTAGTAAAGATAATAGTTTTTTTTTTTAGTTTCAAATATGTCTCCCAACTTGTACACAATGTTTTTTGCTGTGTCATTGGATTTTATTTTCAGCAGCCTGTGCCTCGATCTCACAACACATGTCAAGCACAAATAAAAGAATGTAAACGATTGAAGATTTCAATCATGTCTTTATTGTCGTTTGATTGTGATTTCTAGCAGATAATATTTATGACTGTATCTATCAAAGTTTGTGGTGTGCCATCTTCTAACAGCCACACAAAACCTGGCTCAGAGGATCGACAGACCTGGGTTGTAAAACCTACCATGAATATTGCATGACTGCTAGTTGATTTATAGATTTGTTTAGATTTAGCACACAAGTTTTCTTAACTCCGAACCAGTCTGGATGTCTCCAAATATATCAAACAAAGTGTACCAATACGTCATCCCAATCACAATATGACTAGCCACTCTCATAGTCTTACATTGTGTCTGAAGACACTTCTCTCTCCAAGTTAAAAGATCTTTTGTGGACAGGGTCGGTGAATTATGTTCCAAGTTCATATTTATTGGAAGCCCCTCATACAAAAGAGACAAGAAACTTGAATATGAATCACTCTGTCAGTCAGAGATTTAAAACATCTCGTCAAGGTAGGAAACCGGCAATTTGATCCAATCAGCCCTGGCCTGTATGGACGAATTCTGTCTTTTATTGTATAATGGAATCCAATATGTGTAAAACATCCTGATGGTGATCAAACGTGTAATTATATTACCTGGATCTTCACCGATTTCTCACCCAACACTGTTTTAAAACAGAATTGAGGTATCAAACAGGAAGAAAAAATAAATTGGATTACTGGTGAACATTATTGGAGGGATAGAGGTTGAGTCTCTGTAGGGTAGTGAAGGGTTTAGGGGGGTGGAGATCTCATGTTGCTGATTGCTGTTAAAGCTTATCTGATGCGATGCTTAACTTTAATGTATATTTGATCCCATGATAAATTAGTCAGATATGCGTTTCAGAATCTGATACTTTTTCTTTTAAAAATTTAAAGTTAACATATGTGTTATGTCAAAATGTTAAGGAATAAAATTATGTGAATCGTTGAATTGATAGGATGATGAATGTTGTACTCGCCCCATCCTCTTGTATCACATTATTTCGGTGCTGCAGTTCTTCAGTGAAGTTTTATTTTATCTGTAAGTTTAGTTCAGTGTGTGAATGTTTAGTTCCCTGCCGTCCAAACATTTACTGTATAGTACAATATTTTAGTTCCCTCTAGTTCCTCCATGGTGAACGTTGTAGTTTTCTTTCTATGTTCTGTTCTGTATACTATAGTTTCCTTTACGAGAATAGATGTATACACTGGCCCCTGTCTCTTGAATATTATATAGATATTAAACTATTTATAAAAAAAATTAACTCCAATAATTTTGATCACTTGGATGTCTGATTCTAGTTCTAAACCAGGGGGAGATAACCTTATAGTAAAAATGAAGTGGAGAAATTCTTCATAAAAACTTATAGATGTACAGCAGTTTCCCGTGAGACTGATGTAGTTCTCTGTCCAAACATGAAGTGGTCTCTAGTTTCCCCTGTGTGAATGGTTTAGTTCCCTGTCCAAACACATATTTTTCACTTGTTCACCCCTGTCTAGGTGTTGTAGTTTTCATGTTTGATATCAATACAAGCATAATTGTTGCCATGAAAAAAACACCTTTTTTTGTAGAAGTATTGAATTATGTTAATCACACATAGAGTACAAAATTTATTCATGAAATAGATGCGATTGCACCGTGTTTAATTAAGTTTATGCACTCCTATTAAAGGTATCATTACTGAAACTTTAAACTTCTCACAGTTTTGCATAAGCTTTTAAACGTTATGGAGAATCAAAGAACAAATGTCAAATTTCATCATAACATGTATTATGCATTTGTGAAATGTTTTATAAAGAAAACATCAATCAAATCAATCATTTTGTTTGGTATATGCAATTTTCTGCATTAAGTAGATTTGATTTATGTAGAAATGTACACTAAGTGACCGCACTGAAGATCTAGTCTATACAAGTTTGCCTAGTTTTCAGGGTACAGGTTCCTGTAAACTGTAAAATTGGCACATCCTCCCCTGCACCTTTAAAACTAATTTGCTCAATGTTGGATTCAGCCTTGTATTGAAATTCACTGATAAAATTAACCATGTACACAGCCTTCAAACGTTTTGTCTGAGTGAGTACAATGTTTACTGCAAGTGTTACAGTAATAACATAACACATGATGACAACTACTTATGTATACTGATAGTATCTCAATCAGGGTGGGGGGATGGTGATATACATAATACTGTCAATAATGAAATGCCTAACAGCTACTGCTTAATAAGGCTGTCGGTATGATATGTTTGTCCCAGGTTAAATTCACTCCGTGATGCAGTTGTGAGTACACAGTTTTACAGAGTATTAAATCAGATCATAAATTTATTTATATAAACTTTAGTTTACAAAAAAATCAAAAGCAACTTTTATAAACTAACATGAATCCTCTTGTTGGGCAAGTTGATAGTGTGCAGGGGGTCAAAATGTGGGAGGAAACTTGAGTACCAGGATGTACACTTATTTAATAAGATAGTTTTACCATTTAAATTTCAAATAAATTAACACATCTTTTTAATTTAAATTTTGAATTTAAATTTATTGAAAAAAATATTACTTGCTTTGTGATTATAGACAGGGAAATGGCTAAGTTACCACAGAAAGTTGTAAATAGGGAATAATTTGACAACTCAGTGATTTGAAGTGCTTATTTCTGACCCTGATTTACTCAATGACAGAAACTCTTTGTCACAATTACATATACTTCAGTATTAATTGTTCTTATAGTAATCCACTGCATTAAATTTCCATAGATTCTTTCTATCTGTGCAACTACCATTTCAAGTAGAGCAGAATCAATGTACTTGTTTGATATATCAGATATATTGTGGCTTACTTTCCCTGTCACAGTGGTTGTAAAGTGACCTTATAGCATAGCATGACGGAGGTATGATTAAAGTTTAATTTGCTTCACCTGAATTTAATTTAATTAGGTTAACTTTTGACAGAAATATAAAACAATATTTTAACATGCTATTTTGAACACCTCTACGATATCGGTGTACTTTCTATAAAGTCCAATATGATTACGAATATGATTGCACGTTTCGAGGCTATATTTTACGTCAGTATCGGAGGCTTGTGTGCAGATAAAGCGACATATATCTATGGCTGCTTCATATGAAATGTCACTGGTACCAATCTGTACGTCTGCCTTGGCATATGAAACATTTCTGGTGTAAATTTTGCGATCTGACTGATACTCTGTACAAGTTGAAAGGACATTTATAGATGTGGTAACCATCGTTCAGGTATAAAAGTGAAGTTAACGGCCCTGCCAATAACCGTAGGTAGTGGAAGGCCTGCCTACCTCCCCACTCAGACTCCAAAATGCCTCCTTACCTAAATAAATCTCCCGGCCTCCCATCTCACACAGTACTAACATTCAATTACGGTTACTTCAAAGAGAGCTGAGAGTTTTCCTTACATTGTAGCCCGACTTTACTGGCAGATTGGAGCAGAACACATCCCTGACACTGTTAATGGGGAGCTACAAGGACAACGTGCCTTTGAAAATGAATGTAAATGGACAATTCATTAAAAGTAGGCTGTAAATTTGGCAAATTATGTCATAAACATGGTACAGCTCCCTCAAAAGCTTTAAGTTAATGTGTGTGACTGTCTGATGCCTGATGGCCTGGCCAGGCTAGGAGCTGCCTGGGAGATGGGTCAATTATGGGACATTTCGTTAATTTTTGTACTGAATCCTGTATCAATAACTTGTAATGGTATCTATCTGTTTATACACAAACAAGAGAAGGGTAATAAACATGCACACTGAATAGTGACCGAGTCAGTTGGAGTTGTCAGGAAAATTGGTAGTAATCCCTCATATACAGTACACCTGCTTCTATATCTGTGCGTCCGTAGTCCATTAATGGCTCACATTAAAACTGACTGTAAACATGAACTTCTATCCATTTACACTAATTATTTATAGGAGTGAGTTTAGCTGGTAAAACATCTATATAGCTCCACACAATTTTCTTCTTCATAGATGCATCTTAGGAGAATCTTCATAGGTTTCCAAATATATGCTGATGTAATCGATCTGCAGGAAGATCTGTTAAAAAACAAAATGATACATTGTGTGATAGTCTCTTTCTACTATCTGTTTATAAATGGACATTTTGTTTAAAGAGGAACCTAGCTTTCACATCTGACAATCCTTATTTTAAAAAAAATAGAATTTTACTGTTGAAAAGTCTTTTCAAATATTCCCAATTTCATGTATATGCAGTAGTTAACATTTAATTCACAAAACAACTGGCAGATCGTTTATTCAAATAGGCTGTCAGTTCTATATCAGTGTCAATTAAAAAGTACAAATCTAATAGGCCTCATTCTCTCTGTTACTTTAGTCTTCTTAACTACAGTACACTTTAAGGTCCAGTAATTAACACCTCACAGATGATGCTTTGATATCTGTGGTACACTTACAACAGAATGTCTCTGAGTCATAAAGTAATGTTTATGTTATTGTGAGACTACAAATATTGCTGCTAAAATTTATATCTGATCACAGTACACTTGTCAACTCCATTCACCAAAGTTTATATCTGATCACAGTGCACTTGTCAACTCCATTCACTAAATTTTATATCTGATCACAGTGTACTTGTCCACTCCATTCACTAAAGTATATATCAGATCAGTGTACTTGTCAACTCCATTCACCAAAGTTTATATCTGATCACAGTGCACTTGTCAACTCCATTCACTAAAGTTTATATCTGATCACAGTGCACTTGTCAACTCCATTCACCAAAGTTTATATCTGATCACAGTGTGCTTGTCAACTCCATTCACTAAAGTTTATATCTGATCACAGTGTGCTTCATGATCACAGTATACTTCTCAACTCAATTTACCATAATTTGCTACGTCAGATTTATTACTTCCCAGAACACAAAACATAAACATACCAGAAATAACTATGATGTGATTGATGATCAGATTTCATTGCAGCTATTATGCTGTACATAAATCTAATGTTTTGTATGTAATTTGGTTTCAATTCCATGAGATTTTAAATTCTAAGACTATGGCTGTGGGCATCCATGGATTTGACTGGTGACTATAATACTAATGTCAGTATCATTAATAAATGCCAAGGATCTTATAAAGTCAATACCATTGACCAGTTTGAAATAATGACAACAGTGTCTTAATGGAAAATTTCACATTTTAACAGGAAATGTATGGACTTGAGCATTTAGAATGCTATGGGTTTAAGATTTTAACTTCCTTCAAAGCCATAGGTTTCAGGCTTGAAATTAACACAAAGCAATGAGTTTAAGGTTTGATCTTAAACAAAGTCTTGGTTTTCAGGTTTGGATGTTGACAAAGGCATGAGTTTTGGATTTGAACTAACAAATCCATGAGGATTCTTGTTTGAGCGAGAATAAAGCCCTTGAGTTCAGGTTTGAGCACAAAGCTATGGATTCTGGTTTGAGCATGTACAAATCCATGGGATTCTAGTTTAAGGGTTATCAAATCCATGGGGTTTAGGCACGAACAAATCCCTTTGGTTAACCCTTTCACCCCTGCAGACCTTAATGGACTCATCCAGATCAAGGTATGGTAGAGTTTACTTAAGTTACAGAGGGGTGAAAGGGTTAAAGTTTGAGCATGAACACAAAGCCATGGAGTTCACATTTCAAGCCATTGGGTTCTAGTTTAGCATTGGTAAATCTACTTTTTCAGGTTTGAGCATTTAAAAACCTGTGGAATAAAAGTTGAAGCAACTTTCAGATCCAACTTCAGTTTATTGGGTGGTAGCATATTCTCAGTCGATATGGTTGAGAATATTTTGTGTGCGATATTGATGACTTTAAAAAATTACTCGGTTACATGGTATCAAAAAGAGTAGGAGTAAATTTTAGACAAAATTTGAAAATCACGTTCCATGATTAAATATTTTATATTTTCACCCTGTTGGACAGGATATGGCAAAAGTTAAGGGATTTTTGTTTGCAAAAAACAAGAACATAATGCTACAACACAATTACGTTTTTATTTAACATTGGTGTGAAAACACATTAACGTCATTACAATGTTAAAACCAATCGTCTCTCATAAGGGCTGTAGTGACTTCAATGCAGATAGAATATCACAATCTTGTCATGTCATTAGGCATGGGTATCCTGTTTAGTGTAAATATTTTATACAGATTTGAGACAGAATTTGTTCTATTTAAGAGAAACAAGTTATTTTGCCCTTATCCATGTTATAGTTTTCATACACCCAGGTATGCATTGATTGACACAGTTTATTTTGGAGGTTTCAGTGTTGATATATCTGTCAAACAACTGATCAGTAAGTATTTATCACTGTGCTCATTTGTCTTAAAGAGTTATTTTCTATTCTACATTTGGACCATTGTGTTAAGAAAATCTTGGACACAGTTTATGAAAATATTACAGGGAATTTCTCACCTTAAGTGTATACCAACCTTTTTAGGTCCATCTGATTGACATAGTACTGTTCAAGTTGTAGACCTATCATTCACAGTCCAATGAAGAGGAAATGTTTAGTTTGTACAATTTGCTTATTAATATTTGCTAGAAACTTCCTGATTTTCCACCTCCCTTTGGGTAATTAATTGTTCATGACTGTCATATTTAGAAATACAAGATATTTTCAACATAATTTTTAGCTCACCTGGTCCGAAGGACCAAGGTGAGCTTATGCCATACCGTGGCGTCCGTCGTCCGTCCGTCCGTCAACAATTTCTTTAAACGACTTCTTCTTCTTAACCACTGGTTGGAATTAAACTAAATTTGACTGGAAGCATCCCTAGGTGGTGGGGATTAAAAATTGTACAAATGGTGGGGCTGACTCCCCAGGGGGCTTAGGGGCGGGGCCAAAAGGGGGCAATTTGGCTATATTGCTACAAACGACTTCTTCTGTAGAACTGTGCACTGGATATCAATCATATTTGATCAAAAGCATTCCTGGGAGGCAGGGATTTAAAATTGTACAAATGGTGTGGCTGACCCCCCAGGGGGCTGAGGGGCAGGGCCAAAAA